CGTGATTAAAGTACAATCAAAGTAAAGGGTAGGGCGGTTAACTTTATATAAAAAAAGAGGAAGAATTAAAAATATTACTTTTTTTAGTACGTAGAGCTGACAACATTTGCTTAATACAATATAAAAGGTCTACATGTTACACATACAAAATAAGGGTCTTCTACCCTAAAAACAATATGCAAGAACAATATCCTGCAATCGGGACTAAGATTGGAAGCCTAGAAAAGAAAATATCCTAAAACACAATTTCATAAAAAATTTAAATTTTCAAATATGAATTTTTCTTTTAATTAGACTTTTAAACGCACTGTTTTAAATATAACAATGTGTGCGTGTGTGTGTGTGTGTCTACTGTGTGATACGCACTCGATCCTGGTATTATTTGTGGAAAAAGCCAATAAAAAGATTCACATCCGCAAAAATTATATGTGACTGTGTCGGTAATACAAACGGCTTAAGGATTCCCTTAAGTCGACGTGTAAACATCAACGGTGTCGGCGTACCGCTGTGTAAAAGTGGTGTACGCCGTTCCTACAAAACGCGCGCGCCGGGGAGTAGAAAAATTTCAGAAATTTCTGTCGCCGTTGCCTACGCGACGCCAGAGCGTCGCGTCGCGTCGCGTCGCGTTGACCGTAGACGTGCGTCTCCAAAAAGTAAATAAGCCGTGAAATATTGCACGCTCGCGGCGAACGCACACGAGACGGAGTGAGGGAGGAGGAGGGAAAGGGAAGGCGCGGGGGTGGCCCTATTATCCATCACGAGGACTGTCAGTCCCATGTGGGATAAAGTCGACGGTGTATCTCGTCGAGACGTTAGCCCTCGATACGTCAAAGGGCACGGAGACGGCGACGACGACGGCGACGGTGGCGGCGGCGTTCGATTACGCCCCCTCGATGACGGGTAAAAAGGATCCGACGCGATCCCGCGCGTAATCTCTCCCTTTGTAAGAATTCCGGGGGAAAGAAAGCGCGGATATACGCGACGCCGGGTGCTCAGCAATAACTTGTTATACAGAGTGTCCCAGACCTAACGCACCACTCGTTAACGACAGATTCCCGAAATCATTTTGAGACGAAAACTCTACGCTTCTCGTTTAAAAAAACTATTACAATCTCGACGCTTCGGCGTTAGGATTTTCTTCTTAAAACAATCCCGGGAATACTTGTATACCCTCTGCAGAGTCATTATTTTGTCAGATTCTCGTAAAGGCTCAGCACGACATCATTATAACTTTCTTTTCTCCCTCAGTTCGGATAACATTTCTAAAGCAAAATTGAATTTTGTAATTATACTATCGTGCACATAAGATTGTAATGTAATTGTGGAATAACATCTAGGAGCCATTATTTCCAACGTCTGTTATTTCTAACCGACCGTTAATTTTCAATTCCTATTGGCTATACTGAAAGTTAACGGTCGGTTAAAAGTTAGACGTTGAAAATAGTGGCCCTATGCGTTGTATGAAGGGCGTGATAACGCATACAAAAATGTTTGACATGATTAATGTTATGAATGAGTATTGCAAAAAGTTTTTACGAACGTTTCGTGTTCCGTAATTTTGTTTACTAAAGATAACCGTATTTTTATTATTTTATTATTGCTTTATTATTTTACCTATTCGTTGCACCACGCTGTAGTGATCCCGATTATCGTTAATTAATATCGCATATTTCAATTAACTCGTTCGCGTAATCGTACCGTGGAAAATTCATCGATCAGATAAAAGCGGATCCGGATCAGGCAAGCGCGAACAAGTACGAATAAACAATCTGTTTCGACGAGTGCAATCAGTGCCGTTCTAAATTGTTCATCCGCATTTGTTCACGCTCGCTGGCTGTCTCGACCTTAACTCTACGATCGCACGAAATACACTTGACGAAAATGACGAAGATATTCCCGTCGTTCAGGCTGCGTGTCATATTTATAACATAACATCACGATCGCCCAATTCTGTTTAACATATATTTATTTCTCGTTGAATAAAACGTAAATATAAGCATGCCAAAAGTGCAAGTAGTAAAATTACAGCCCAATCTCAGTGAAAAGTGATGGCTGAAAAGACGTCGAATCGACATCGTAATTTTGCCAGACGAGAAACACGGAGGAACATTCGGCTTCTAGTGCTAAACGATTCGCGGATCGAACTACGATGTTCGCGCACAAAAAGTTTACATCAATGCCGTATGTACACTTGTCGCGCGCAATTCGCGCACTGCTTCACGTTTATCGGCCGCGCGAGCCGAATTACAGATATAATCGTGATTCAATAAAACGCGAGACGGTGTTCGTAATCGTTTCCCAGATAACCAAGCGTGAGATCCCACACGAGATACCCCTACCGCATTGTTACTGCATTGCCACGATAAAATAGCTGCCCCTATTAACTCTCTTGATAGAAATATAATTTTTGCATCGTAGAATGATAGAACGATAAAACCGTTGAGGGAGTGAGATGAAGTCTCATCGACTTCAAAGGTTAACTTTTACGATGCATCCCTCGCCAACAAGTTTTTCTTGATACTTTTTACGAGCCCTTCGAGAGTCGTGTCGGGGTGTTCGACACTTCTAATGGAGGGTGACAGGCGATGGGAGATATTTAATGGTCCAACAGTTGCTCCTATAAAGACCCATCTTTTCCACGGAAAAATATCGATGAAATTTTTTGCAAAATTCTCCTCGCACTTTTTTCTCTGCTTCTCCATCTAGCTATTAGTATTTTTAAATAAATTAACAAAGGATATATTTTTGTGTACATTTTCTCTTTATTGCATGGATATAAGTGAATAATAATTAATATAATAAAACCTAAAAAATATATATAATACGATACTATTGCTTTCTAAACTTTTCGTAATCAACATACATTTGGTTGCATATGCATATTTATTATATTTTATTATTTCTACATCATCCGAAACGTACTCGTATACTCGTAATTTTAAATTTGGAATTGTTAAAATTGTTTGATAAAATGAATGCGTGTGTGATTTGTATAAGCAGTCTCTTGTTCGAGTACTTCTAGTATCGATAATCTTTATATACTTATACATAGTATGTATGGCATATACATATGTATAAATATAAAAAGAGATATCTTTATGTCTATGGTGCCATCTGTAGTCAAGTATTTTCAATGCTCCGTTGATAATTTACAATTAGACACTGAGACCATTCAATCAGAATGCCCTTTTAATATAACAATTACCTAACCCGGTAATTGATTGTCAAATGAATGATTGTAAGAATTTACGAAAAATACATTTTTACCGGTAAGTATGTACTATATGTAAAAAAATACATATTACCGTATTTTATATCGAAATTTTGTGTGTTACTTCTCTTGCAAACATCTTGAAAAGGTTACATTAATTTTCTCCTTGCGATTAAAATACAGTAATAATATGATTTTTGTTATAGTACCTTGATAGACGAACAAAATGTGTACACCTTATTATCTTCCTGTCAACGCCTAGAAAAAATCCATTTGGATGGAATTACCTTCGACGATGACAATTTTGAACTACAACCGCAGTACAAAAACTTGGAACGGCTATATCTTTATCACATGGAAGATTACCAAGAATTTTATAATTATTGGGTATTGGACAACAGATCTGATCAATATTTCATTGTTTTTAAAAAATTTTCTAAACTGCAAAAGGTGTATTTCATACACTACGAAGAGAATTTTTTAGAACCAATTAAATAGACTTATTTAAAATTATTTAAAATTATTCTTTTTTATTGAAGTATCTATTTATTCTATTTAGAATAAAAATATGAAATTTCAAATAAATCTGTGTATTATATTAAGTAAATTAATTTTAATCTTTACATTTTCTACATTCAACTAAATATTTCATAAGATAGAGAATACTATTTATTAAATGAAATAATTGTCATTTTTGTCAAATAAGAAATCCAAGTTTCTTCGCTGTAAAACTTATATCTTCGTAAACATTTTATTGAATTAAAGTAAAATTGTTTAAATTTAAATTTATCTACTGTATAATACTTAATATAAATACTTAAATGTTTCAGACAAAAGCTGTTTATATTAATTAGTATTATAAAATGGTATAGTAAATAATAGGGGGTTCCATTAAGAAAATTTAATGACCTTTCCGTGACCTTGACAACGCCATTCGAGGTCATACTGATATTGCTATGTAATGCACTACTTGAAACCCTACCACTTTTGTCTGAAAAGTTTTCTTCTGGAACTTATACGTTTTGAGATATTCTATGTGCTCAACTTAGAGGAAATATATATATACTACCCAGCAAACACCAAAGTAACAATTATATAACATTAGCACACACGAATTATGTTATATTTATGTTGATATTACGTAACCGTTACTTTGGTATTTGCTGGATTATTCCCCTGGTAGCACATGTGGTCTTATTGACGTCTATTTTACGTTATATTTCGTTATATCGACGTCTTATTGTGGACGATATTATGACGTTATAAAAAAGGCGTTAGTTAGACGTTCTTTTAAGACCCAATTTGGTATTCTACAATTGTTTTCATTTTTTAGTTTCCTTTAATTAAAATAGACTGTTAATATTCCACTTTTAAGTCTTCTAATTATACATACATATATGTATAACTATCGTAAATAAAAATCTATTTTCGTTATCACTTATGTGCAGTCGAATCAGGTGTTCAGTAATTTTGTTCATATTTTAAAGTTTACGCATTGCAATTGAGATAAGACATTCATGCCAAGACTTGGAGATAATAAATTTACATGGAGTAACGTTATCACAGAAGTGTGTAGAGACCCTTGCTAATTGAAAGAATTTACGAAAAATACATATTCACGGGTATGTACTATATTTAAAAAAATACATTATATCCTACAAGTATAAGATTACATGTTAGAATAGGAAAAGTGGAGGTAACTGGCAGTTCATAGATATATTGTCAAAGCTTTGAACTTCAATTTGAAAAGGATGATTTTGTTTGAAAGAAAGAAAAGGAAACCAAAAGAGACAGTCGATTATCACATTCTATGCATTTATTGATATAATAAATGATAGTAAAGAGTTTCTTAATCTTCTTCCTCTTCTGGTGCAGCACCACCACTTCCTTTCCTCAGGTTCTTCCTCTTGACGCGGCCAGGTCTGCCACCGCCGAAGGGCGACTTGAGCGAGAAATCGATGTGTTTCTGCGAGTCCAGTCGCACGATAAATGACGGGATGTTCACCACTTGTTTGCGCACTCTGCAACAAAAACTCTCCGCTGATCACGCAGTCTTCGAGAGCTCGTGGTCATTTATCGCAAATTCTTTCGTTACAAAAGGCAAGAACTCTACCGAAACTTATCCCCTTTTCTCGATGAAAACGAAGAACTTGAACAGCTCGACAGGCGTTGAGTACCGATGAACGGCACTCAAGTGGCCTGCACGAATCAAATTAAGTTAACAATTGAATTCTCGACTCAGTGAATGCAATTCAACCAGGTCCGGTCGACAAGGTTTCATCATCCTGGTACCTGAGCAATAGAATTCATTCGTCATCTTGCCTTGCAATACCGCGCTAAATGTTAAAGTGCATTTAAATACGAAAATTCATGCAGACTCTGCCAAAACGCGCGAGCATTTAATTTCCCACAATACAAAATATCCGAACAACCAAGTTTTACATTACAATTTTACGATACAAAACTTTGAGAAATTAATTTTTTGCTCTTTTAAAAAAATATTGCAAGTAGCATCCTGAAAGTGTTACAGACTTCAGTAATTCTGATTCAAGACACAGAAGTTTAAGGTGTAACAAATACAATATCGTTCATTTAGCACACGTATTTAAACTTGTAGCCTGGTCTGAAACCGAGAAAGTAACTTGTGTAACCTTAACCGGTGATTAATCCAGGCTTTTGATCTCGCCTCAAAGATTAGAAGAGCGCCGTTAGAATTATTCGGCCACTTCTTGCCCATTTTTTAAGGCGTTTCTTCAACCCTCTAAATTGTGCTCGAAGGTGCAAATCCTTTTCTCAGCAATAAAACATCTCCTTTTTCTTCAGGGATACCTCCCTTTTACTGTAGCAAAAGCCGTTGTCATTATTATTTACCGAATATGACGTTGGCGAATGAGCACGCGGGCATGATGGATGGACTTGGCCAGACCCAGCTTGAATACTTGGGTCTGTAGACGTCGCTCCAAGAAGTCCTCAATCTTTAGACCCAATACATAATCGAGCTTCATATGGGCCTCGTTCAACACGCCAATCCTTACCAAGCGGCGCAGCAGGGCATTTCCTATAAGAATGTTCCTGTTATACGTAAAAATTTTGGAAAAGCTCAGAGCAGGACTCGTCTTGCTGAATTTCTCAGAAATTTTTACGCTTATCCACAAAAGCATTCGGACAAGAGGTGTCAGGTTATACGGTTATCATCACGTTTTGCTATCACTTTAATGCTATCGGCTGCGTATAAGTAACTATTTAAGCGCGCAGTTTCTATCTAATTGGAGTAAATGTATGTCTCCAAATACGTGGGCTCGTGATATACAACCAACCTTCAAAGAGACGCTTCGGATCCTTTTCCTCCAATGTGAGCAATTCACGAGCGGCTTTACGGATCTTGGCCAGGGTGTACTTTACTCTCCACACCTCGCGTTTGTTACGGAGACCATACTCTCCGATGATGCGCAATTCCTGGTCGAGACGAGCTTTCTCGTACGGCCTCCTGGGCGTGACGTAGGTCTTGGAGAAGACCGACGGGATTCTTCCGTTAACCATGACGAGGGATCGTCTGAGCGGGAATTAATATTGGTACAAATTACGTAGATACAGGGAGAAAGAGAGAGCAAGGACTTTTGGACCCGATAACCTCGCGCGAATCGAGAACGGAACGCCCGCCACGTGTCCGCACTTGGACAAGAAGCTGGAGAGAGCGAGGAGACACGTGGTCGCGAAAACGTATCGACATAAGACCGCGAGTTGAAAAGAGTAGAACGAATTTCGCCGAGATGACCATAATCGAATAAATTGATAGAAAGAGGCACAAGTAACGTGGATATTACCTTCAGCAGCGTGACGAGAAACGTGACCTCTCACCAAGACGACCGCATCGAAAATGGCCGAGCGCAACGCCGAGTACCGGATATTGCCTCATGAGCGGAATGAGCGGGCGATAGAATAGAAGGAAGTGGGGGAGACAGTGTCGCCAACGCGTGCTGAGCACAGACCTAAACTGGAAGGCTCGGATTAGGGTGCGTTTTCAATGAGCGCGTCGAAAGTTCCAAAAACTGAAAATGAGCGTAAAGCCCGCTGCAGACGATGCTATTTTTCCTGCTGGATTGCTTGCAATCTAATAAATTACTACCGTTGCACCATTCAGCACTCAGGATTCCTAGTAATTTAGTAAATCGCAAGCAATCCAGCAGGAAAAATAGCATCGTCTGCAGCGGGCTTAAGCCTTGTGTCCACGATCCAAACTGTGTCCAAGTTCTAGTTCCGAGAAATGCGTAGCCAATCACCTTGCAGCTTTTATGGAATAGCTGCACGGTGATTGGCTACAGATTTCTCGAAACTAGAACTTAGACCAAGTTCTAGCATCGTGGACATTGGGCTTTAGTCCCAGTCTACAATAGATGATTTAAGCCCTAAGCTTTAAGAAATTGGCCAATCACGGTCAAGTATGAGAAGAATGCGCGACTGTGATTAGTCAATTTCTTAAGGCTTAGGGCTTAAATCTCTATTGTAGACTGGGACTTAGTCCCAGT